AAAGTCGTCAGATTGTAACTTCTATCATCAGTGTTTTGATGGGGATCAACTATCTATTGTGATTTTTTGACAGCCTACAAAGGGTATGGATGGAGACTTCCGTATCATCTTCAAAGAATCTTGATATGAAAAGTCTCTCTAGATCCGTCCACTTTTGGATACATCCGGCAGGTAATTTCCTGAACCATTCAAAGGCAACTCCCTTGAGGGTGCCAATGAACAATCGAGCCAGTATGGCGTCGTTTGATATCACATTCCCAGTCTGTGACTTGAAGTGATAGATATGTTGGTTCGGTGAACCCGTGCCGTCAAAAGTTTGTAACGTCGGGACCTTAAACTTGGGAGGATAAGGGGCTGTATCCCATTCGGCAGGATAGGGCCTGACAAATCCCTCGTCTTGGAGCTCGCTTCTGTTGGCAATGATTTTAAGGCGGGCTTCCAATTCTTCCATTTTGGCAGACTGGAGATTCTGCTCGTTCTCCGTCTCTCTTCCTTCATCAGAGGAAGATTCTAGGTTGTGGGCTTCTTGGTCAGAAGCCGTGTCATCAACCACTTTTCCCTTCCCTTTGCTTGTGTGAGGTCGGGATGAAGACGTTTTTCCTCTCCGGGAGGATTCTTGCCTAGGTGGCGAATCTGTCTTCTGAGATTTGACCTTGTCTGTGACAATTTGAGTCAACAGGGCCATGAGTTCATTGATGGCCTCTTGCTGAGATTTGAGCATGGCCTCCTGCTCATCAAGTCTCTTCGCGAGATCTTCATGGCTTTCTGTCATATAGGCAGAGCTCTCATGTTCAACAAAAGAGCTTGATGATTGGGACTCTGCAATGGCTGAGTGTTCATCATCGGAATTGGTTCCTCTGGCTAACCTCCGATAATTGACAGGGAGAATGGTTCCTGTTCGCGTCCGAGTGCGTTGGTAGACTCCTTCAAACTCGTTAGCAATTTCTCTGACAGTCGGTGAACGACTTGTCTCAGAGTTATCGGAACTAGGACCTGAGGCTTTCCCTCTGCCGATCACATTGATAGTGACCTCAGGATATTCGGTCTCTGGAGACTTCTTCCTGTGAGAACATCGTCGTTGGTTGGGCAAGGCAACATGCATTAATTGGTCGAACACCAATTGTTTGGCCGCAAATGAACAACATTGACATTCCGAGAGGACCGTAGGAATCAGTCGTTCACATTGGAGTGAACGAATGACTTGTTGCATCGGTCTTTCTCCTGATATGAACTCTCTCAAGTCTGTTGTAAGGACTAGAGAATTACTCATTGATCGTGAGGTTTGAATTGGAACCCCCAGTCTATGATTAGACAGGACTGGCTCTTGGTGAACATGGATCTGGTTGAGATGCCTTGACTCCATGGACTTCTTATATCCGCCCCTCAATCTAGTCGCGCTACGCAGAGTATTCGGGGGTCTCGCTGCCCGGTCAGTGAGCCGGGGGTCCAGGGGGCGGCGCGCCCCTGGCCAGGGGGTCCGGGGGGGATGGAATACCCCCCGGCGGGGTTCGGGGCAGCGCCCCGAAGCTCCACGGAGAAGGCCAGGTTCCATATTGAATTTCGTCACCCGAACGCATGCCTGAGCTCCAGGTGTTGCTGGTGAAACGCAGATTTGAGAGTTGTGTTTATTTTGTGGAACGCACCCCTGAGGGTTGCGTTCATTTTGTGGAATGCGCCCCTGAGGGTTGCGTTCAGTCTTCTTCACACAGAGCCTATGTTTGGGCTCATGGATGCGAGGCTTGCGTTCTGAAGTAGAAACGCAGAGCACATGGTTGCGTTTAGGCTCACAAACACGAAGCTCGTGTTGACTTGAGGATCGACATTCTCGAAGTTGTGCTCGTCGTCGAGATCTTCTTCTTCGTCGAGCGGCGTTCTTCTTAGCCTGCTTCAAGGCCTTTGTCGCCTCCATGGGCATCTTTTGACCCGATACCCATCGTCTTGGCGCGAGTTTGGCTGAAGCTGAGCCCTCTCCATCGAGGGAGGGGCAGTCCGAGCAGTCTTCTTTAGGGGGTTCGGCTGCAATTGGAGCAGTTGGAGCTTTAGTCTCTTTGGAGACTTTGTGGATCTTGCGCATAGCCTTGGGGCTAAGGGATCCAGAGGAGAGGGTCTCCTCAAACTTGGCTTGATCAAACTCTACCACGAGAGTTTCGACGGTTGTTCCAGTGAGATGAACATCGGATTGCACCACCACTTCTTCGTCAGAGAAGCTAGTCCCCAGCGGAGTCGTCATCTTTTGTTTGTGGGAAAATTTGCAAGTAAAAAGACAATGAAGGAAAATTGATTTGTATTCCTTTAATCTCAGTTACAATTGGATTTCCTGATTACAAAAGAGAGGAGAATGATATGGATTCTCTCCTTTGTTTAATTCTGGGTTCTTCACGGTGGCGATGAGATGCCTCCCTCGAATGCTCGCGTCGAGTTTGCTTCTCGTTGACGATCCGACGTCTTGTTTCACTGGAACATAGTCTTCTCCTCACGATTTGACGTTGTGGAGAACTCTGAACGAGTTTAAACTCTATGAAAGAGTTGATTTAAACGAAAGTTGGTTATAAGCCAAGGATGAAGAAGATCTTGTTGCCGATCTCCAAAGCTCCAAAAATGCTCTAAGGATACTGTTGACGAGACAAGAAGTTCCAACCGACCGAACCCGAAAGATCCAGCCTCGAACTAAGTTGATTTCTTAGTTATTTATAGGGGATTAAGGGGTGTAACCACCTCTTTAATTCGCTCCTAAGTGGGGCTAATGGGATGTAACCGCCCCTCAAATCACTCCTGAGTGGAGTTGTGATCCCCTCAGATCGTGGGAAACGGTTTTGAAACCGTTCAACTCGTGTTTGAACGAGTCAAACGCAGATCCTGGTCTGGCAGCGATTTGAGCTGCGTCTGGCAGCGATTAGAGCTGCGCCTGGCAGCGGTTTGAGCTGCGTTTGGCAGCGGTATAGAGCCGCGTTGGGCATCGATTGGAGCTGCGTTGGGCAGCGATTGGAGCTGCGTTGAGCTGCGGTATGAGATGCGTTGAGCTGCGTTCGTGGCTATGAACATGATGCGTCTTGATGCTGGTGTGAGAGGAGGACTTCCACAGTTTGATTTGAAGAGACCGTCGATTTGTAGTCTCTTTCTGTCGAAGCGTTGCAAAGATCGTCATTTTGTAATCTTTGTTTTAGCTCTCTGATATATGAGAGTCGTCAGATTGTAACTCCCGATGTTGATTATGAAGGCTGTTAAACTAGAGCTCTCATCGGTTGTCGTGAAGGTCGTCAGATTGTAACCTTCAGCGATCTACGTGAAAGTCTTCAAATTATAGCCTTCTGGAAGTCGTCAGATTGTAACTTCCATCATCGATGTTTGATGGTGATCAGCTATCTATTGTGATTTTTAGACAGCCTACAGTCACTATCCGGTTCACAGGAATTCGATTGACGTCGGTGAATGCTTGAAGTGAATCGACGAACTACGTGAGCTGACAGAATTCCGGAATGACGGAGGTGCGGGCTAATCGGGAGCCCCACGATATTAACGAAAGGAACAACGCCCTTCGTGTCTCATTCATTCTACGGATAATCCAACCATTGAAGCTGATAGAACTCCTTGTCGGCTTTCCAACGCATTTGGAATCACTCAAATCCAAGTTCAGACGGAGAAATTACAGCGAAAACGGTCAAACGAGTGTTGAAAATGTCTCAGAGCCGAACCGAGGCACCTACGGTGTCTCGGCCAAGTCAAGATACCCCGAGGGTGTCTCGGCCAAGCCAAGACACTCCTAGGGTGTCCCAACGCGGATTTGACCCCCTAGTCCGTTTTAACCGCTCCGTTATCCCTCGTGCCTATAAATACAAGCCATAGGCCTCATTTTTTTGAGATCTGGAATTTTGGAGAAGAGGCGAAGCCCTGCCGGAGTGAAGAGTGACCGAGCACTTCAACGCAAGAGAGTTTCTTCATCAGATCTACATCACTCGCATCCGTTCCTTAGCATTACCCCTCGTCGGTAATCCTAAGAAGAGCAAATATCTCGCTTTATCCGAGATAGGCGCTTCAGTTTCTAGATCTCCTCGCGGATCGACGATGCTCTGAACCAGATATGATTGCCAGGTGGTCCACGGATATCGACGTCCCCGTCACAGGCTAAAGACCCACGCAAGCAAGAGACGACGAACAGATCTTGTGTTTATTTTCAAGAAAGTTGTAATTTTTATTTCTTTGTTGTTTGAATTCATTTGTAACGTTTGAAGCTTAATGAAATCAATGATGAAGGCAACTTTTGACGAAAACAGCTGTCTCGCTGCGAGACAGTAAACTCTGTCTCGCTGGCGAGACAGTAAACACTGTCCCGCTGGCGAGACAGTTCATATCTGTCATTTTGAGTAATTTCTTCTATATTCGGATATCTATTGGCATTTTTTGACGCCTACCATCATTGACTTTATATATATATATATATATATATATCGAAAAACTTATGTCAACTTAAGTGGACGTCCACTAAGTTTTTTATCCATTGATGATTATTTGATTGAGCTACATTATAGATGATCCGTTCCGTTGAACTTAATCTACATATTCTAAAACTCAAACACATCATATTTGAGGTGAACCCGTCGTGATTTGACCCTTCATCCACTCGTATCAATTTTAACGGTTTCCAATCAAAGGATCTCTCTCCCCCCGAGGTCTCAAGAGGAGGAGCAGCCGCAGCAGCTGGATTCTGACAGGACGCTCCCAGCGGAAGTCGAGGCTGATGTTTCCCCAGAGAGATTCGCCTCAAGTCAATAACAGCCTCCTGCTTCTTCCCTCTCGAGATCTCCCCGGATCTGCGGGATTCCCTCCCTCAAAGCCCTACCGTACTAGCTAGGTTTCTCTCTTCTATATTCTCTTCCCGTCACGGGTCCGCCGCGCCGCCGCCATGGACCCCGCGCCTCACCAGGTCGACGAGCTTCGCCGCGCGGATTCGACGTGGCCTGGAGTGCGTGATGAGCTACATCGACGACCCTGGGACCGCGACGCCATCTCCTCGTCGGCCAAGAAGTGGTACCGGATCGACGCCATCCCCGCAGCACATCACCTATCGCCCTCTGCTACTCGGCCACCCGAGATCGCCTCCGCCAGCGGTTCCCCCGCCTGGAGTCGCTCAAGCTCAAGGGCAAGCCTAGGGCTTCCATGTTCAACAACATCATTCCCGAGGACTGGGGAGGCTACGCCGCCCCGTGGGCCACCGAGATCGCGGACTCCTTCTTGTGCCTGAAGGCGATCCATTTCCGGAGGATGGTTGTCAAGGATGACGACATCGGTGTTCTGGTTCGAGGCCGAGGGCACATGCTTCATTCCCTGAAGCTCGACAAGTGCACGGGTTTCTCCACCGACGGGCTCATCCTCGTTGCTCGTTCCTGCAGGTATCGGATTCTGTTACTTTTGTTCTGGAATTTCGATCGTTTCGCCTTGTCTTTCCTTTCCTTTTTCCTTTTTCTTGCGTTGTCACATCCCCGTGATTGATTGGCTGGCTTGGATACAAGGTCAGGGTAGTTGCTGGCTTAACCAGTTGAGGAATCAAAACTTTTATATTCAATATTTGTGGGGGGAGACGGTCACGCTGCATTTGATAGATCGCCTGAACTGTGGTCTTTGTGGTGTTAATTGCTATGCCAACGCTGCCTAGCTCTCTACCTTATGACCGAAAGCCATCGGCTTAGGCTTTCTTTCATTTTAGCTTTTAGCTTTTTTTTTTTTTACCCCATGTGTTTGGTTTGACAGCGGAGGATCTTCATCTTCCCCTCTAAAACAGCGATTTTGACTCTCTAGCTGAGGCATCGACTTTTGCTTATCCTGTGGATCTCTTCCCCCACCTCGAACCTCTGAAATTATGTTTCAGCTTCTTCTTCTTTTTTACTGCATGCTGTCTTGGATTGCTCGTCAAATGTTTATGTTAAGAGATGCACGTCAGATGTGATGAATTTAGATGACATGGCCGTGATTGCTTCTTGATTGATTATTACGTTTTACTTTACAGTTATAACTGTGAGGTTTCTCCTTTCTCGGAATTGTTCTGAATTGGTTATATTCATGCTGAGCGTTACTCGAAGTCTCACTACTTAATTCGCTGTATGTGAAACTGGCGGTATGTTGCATGGCATGTACATTTTTTTTCTTTTAGGCGCATGCATGTTCACGCAGGATGGAGTTGAGCGTTTACCGACTTCTTCACTCCCTATTCATTGTAACTGTTGATTGAGAACTCCTTTTTGCAGTGACAATCTTTTTTGAAAATGCCTAAATTAATTTATGAGGATAAATTGCATTACTTGGAAACTTTGAAACCTCAACTAGCTTCTGTTTCGTTTCCTTGAGGTAATGGATCTGCTACTTGCGGATTGTTGTAATTCGTTTGATTTTTTTGGCATTATGCTGTCTATTCATTATATTGACTTATTCAATTAGAAGTCTTTTGTGTTTATCATATTCAGTTAGCACAAACATCTTTAGTGTGAAGTCATGTTGAGACATGAGCCAAGACACTATACATATATCAGGCATAATTTTTTTAGAATTTGCTACATATTGACATGTTGTGTCCATATCTAGTACATGTCTGCGTGCAACATTGTCTAATTGCACATTCTAGTAATTTCTCTCATTGCGTAGATTATATTATGAGTACGAATATGTTTGGTGGTAAAGTATCTGTTATACTTGACACAATGATCAAATAGGAATATTGGTTACATCTAAGTAAATTATTTTGATACATTGAAGTTAAAGTTCAAAAGATTCAACTCAGATTCTCTTTCTCTAAATTAATTCATTTTGCCCCAAGAATGTATGTATTTAAATTCCAGATTTGTTTCAAGCAAATTTGATATTGAGTTCGATCTAATAAATATCCATAGCAAAATCTTTGTGTTTGGCAAAAGAAAACAAATTTAGATATCCCCTATACCATTTCCCCCCTCCTTTGCCTTTATTTGCTGAGAAAAATGTGAGGAATGAAGAGGCTTGTGATAAAATCTTAAACAAAAGTTTGAGGATAAGCACGAAGAAGACTAAAAAGGAACAAGAGTCAGTTGAGAAAGAAAAAGATAGCTGACATAGGAAGGTCCTCATCTGGATATACATCAAGACATGAAAGAGCCTGACACATGTAACGAAGAGAAAATTGGAAAGGGAGGTGGGTGGGGATGGAACGTATTTGATTCCTGGTTTGGAAGTATTGGGATTACTTTTTGTACCTTTTAAAAACTGATTTTACCACTCTGGTCATTACATCAACATATCTTATTGCAAAAATGAAAATTGAGCTACCATTGTTTGTGAAAACTTTGATGAATTTAGAAGATATTTAGAAGGCTTTTTCGCTCATATTGTGCGCCTTCACTGCCCTGCAGTTTCTCCTTCAAAAGGAATGCCATCAGATTACAGTTCAGTTGTAATTAAATCCTTGCTAAAAGAAATTAGGATAAATTAATTAGTTAAAAATCCTTAATTGGTTTTTAAAATGAAGCCAATAGTCAAGTCTTGTATCTGCTCAGATCTCAGAACACAACTAGATCCTAGTTCTTAATTGATTAAGAAGGGCTAATCATAACACGAGTTTGAAGAAATAATTTTGACTCAATTTCTCGGGTCTCTTTTTTGCTAAATATAAAGAAAATAGAACCAGATCAATTTGAGGTTTTCTGGAACCTTTCTGGTCCTGTTTCTAACTCATGTGGGATTTACCCAAATAACTTTGATCTGCATCTGTCATCCCTTTTCACTGAATGTCACTTGAGAGTCTTGTTAGCTCTGTAGTGGAATGAAGGGAATACTTTACGCATGCCCTCCACACAGGGACTAGATTCATTGGAACTGGTTGACCTGGGTTCTTAGTTTGCGATAGCGAAAATAACTTTTAGAAATTCTTACTGTATAGTGGCCCTAAAACTAATTTTACTTTTCAGTAAAAAAAGGTTTGAACGGATGTAATCATCAGTTATTTTTCTGGTATTTTGTTAATGCTGTGATGGGTTGTAATGAAGTCTTATTGACAGTTAAACCGAACAAACAGGTGTTCACATGCTGCCCTTTTGGTGGCATATTTTCCTTCTAAAGAAAACTTTTGTTATTGGTTCAGATAACTATTTGTTGCTGAATTTTACCAATCTGTCCATGTACTTTTCACAGATGTCTTAGAACCTTATTCTTGGAGGAAAGCGTCATAACTGAGGAGGAAGGCCAATGGCTCCATGAGCTAGCCATTAATAATTCCGTTCTTGAAACTTTAAACTTTTACATGACAGATCTGAGTGTCTCATGGCAGGACCTCGAGTTAATTGCCAGGAACTGCAGATTGTTAAATTCCTTGAAAATTTCCGAATGTGATATCTCCCATCTGGTCGGGTTCTTCCGTGCTGCAACAGCACTTGAGGAGTTTGGTGGGGGCTCTTTTGATGACCAACTAGGAGAAATCAACAAATATGAGAGGGTTAGATTTCCTCCAAATCTTTGCCGCTTAAGTCTCAGCTATATGGGAACAGATGAGATGCAAATCATATTTCCATTTGCTGCCTCACTGAAGAAACTTGACCTGCAATATACATTTCTCACTACCGAGGATCACTGTGAGCTGATTCAACGATGTCCCAATTTAGAGATTTTGGAGGTACCTCGTAAATAGAGTTACACTGCTAGTTGACTTTGTTATTCTGGCTCAACTGGAAAACCTGGACCTTCTCATGATTGCTGATTGGTTTAAATTTGTGTTATAGGTGAGGAATGTGATTGGAGACCGAGGATTAGAAGTTGTTGCTCAGACGTGTAGGAGACTTAAAAGGCTGAGAATTGAGCGGGGGGAAGACGAACAAGGCCTGGAGGACGAACAGGGAACAGTTTCACATAGAGGGCTCTCTGCAATTGCACAAGGCTGCCTGGACCTAGAGTACCTGGCTGTATATGTTTCTGATATCACGAATTCTGCTTTGGAAGCTATTGGCACTCACAGCAAAAACATGTGCGACTTTAGGCTCGTATTACTTGATAGAGAAGAAAGGATAACAGAACTGCCTCTTGACAGCGGGGTTCGTGCACTTTTACAAGGTTGTGCAAAGCTAAGGAGGTTTGCTTTTTATCTTAGGCCTGGTGGCCTCACAGACGTGGGTCTTGGTTATGTTGGTCAATACAGCAGCAATGTTAGATGGATGTTGTTAAGTAATGTGGGGGAGTCTGATTTTGGGCTTCTACAGTTCTCAAGAGGCTGTCCAAAACTGCAGAAGCTGGAGCTTAGAGGCTGCTGCTTCAGTGAGCGTGCTTTGGCGCTTGCTGCTCTGCAGTTAGGTTCTTTGAGATATTTATGGGTTCAGGGTTACAATGCCTCCCCAGATGGTAATGATCTTCTGGCGATGGTCCGTCCCTTCTGGAACATAGAGTTCATTCCCCCAAGACGAGTGAATAGTTATATCGAGGATGGCAGTGAGCAAGTTGAAGATGGCATTGAACATCCAGCTCAGATACTCGCATACTATTCTCTCGCAGGAAGGAGGATGGACTGTCCAGATACTGTGATTCCTCTAAATCCAGCATGAGTGTATATACTGAAACTCTTCTGCCATTTTCCCTCTATCGCCTTTTTATCCCCCTGTTTTCCGTGTGTAATCGCTTTACTTTGTGTATATTAGCTTGCTCTCGTCATTTTAACAACTTGCTGTGCTGCTGTCATGTAATAAGGTTAACCTTCTTTCAGAAATTTAAAAGCCTATTAGTGTCTTAACGGATGCATTCAATCTTTTGATGCGTTGTGATGACTTCCTGGCCTTGTCAACTTTTCTGTTTCAGGTGGCGTCGGAGTTCTTTTTGCCATTTTCAAATCTGTTGTGTGCGCCAGGTTTAATCGCCTGTTATTTTTCTTACGATTCTTATGATTTGGTTTTGTTTACATTTCCAATGTCCATTGTTATGTTTATTTATTTATTTATTTTTGTTTGCTTGCTTTCTCTGTTCAGTTATTATGGATGGCTTTGGGCGAGAATGGAACATACGCTTTGTGATATCCAAAAACACGGTGTCCTTGGTTGATAGTTCGTGAGCCTGGAGCTTCCGATGCTATGGAGGTTTCTGTGTTCTCCAAAAGTGTAGGCAGTTGGGACATTTCATCCACACCACGAAGGGAGAATAAATTGGATTCTTAATGTGTATTTGATTCTTCTCGTAGTCAGTTGCAACTGATATTGTAATGCTAATACAGCCATAACGACGCTACTTTTGGTTGGGCGGCCGTAGTTAGTGTGGTGCTTCTTATGTTGCGCTCGGCGTGTTTGTTCGCAAATTTTTTTGGTGAATATGCATCATTCGGATTGCACGTATTTTTCTGTGAAATACTCGGTAACGTCGTTACGAAGACAATTATTGCATGATGAGACTAGGGTTTTATTTTAATTTTTTTTTTTAATTTTGTTTTAAATCCGTCACAACTTACTTCGAGATAGCGGCGTAACACTAGGTAGCAAACGACATCATGGCGTGTCATCTGGTTGGAGCGTGAGAAGACTGGAGTGGGTGTCGTTACCAGGTCAGGTCAGGTCAGAAGCTCTCCTCAATTTGACCGGGTCGGGTCAGAAAGTGTGTTTTACTTATTAATTAACAAGGTGTTGGTTTGCTCGAGGCTATTTGTTTGTCGCGTAGCGGCTAAGACCCCTACGATTTCCCGTCCCCAATCCGATTGGGAATGAATTTGGGGGGGACGGTACGTCATCAAAAAGGGGCGACTTTCTCGGCTTCCTCTCTCTATAATATATACGTATAGCTCAGAGGTGGGTCCAGAGGGATAGAGGGTCGGTTAGCATGGCGTGGCGGCCGATTCAACAACAAAAGGAGGGCGAGGCAGGTATACACGAGCACCCAGCTGTTCCATAGACTAGAATCCAGGATCGAGACCTCCTCTCCCTGGCATGCAACTCGGCGAGAAGGCGGCCCAAATGGCCCAGATCGAGCGGCTGCTCCGCTCTCCGCCTCCCTCTCCGAAGCTGGCCATCGAAGCGTCCTCCAACGCCCTGGCGGCAGCCGCCCAAGCGAGCGCCGCGTCGGCAGACGGGGATTGGCCCGACATGGTGCGACGCAGATGCAGGTGGTGGGCCCTCCTCCTCCCGCCCTCGCCATCCCCATCGTCTACGGCTCCGACGCCGTCCACGGCCCACAACAACCTACTACGCCACCGCTACCATTTTCCCTCATAACGTCGGTCTCGGAGCTACAAGGTTTTGTGTTTTTTTATGTACATTTCAAGTGCCGGTGTGAATTTTGATGCATCTGACTTCAATTCGTAGAGACGGGGAATTGGCTCGAAGGATCGGAGCGGCGACCGCGTTGGAAGTGAGGGCAAGTGGCATTCACTACACTTTTGCCCCTTGTGTTGCGGTTGGTTGACTTGTTCCCCTTCTTTTTATTTATTATTATTATTATTATTTACCTTTGAATTTTTTTTATCACATGTTATCCTTGTTGGAGTTGCGGAAGCGAGATACGTAATTGATTTTAGTTTTAGAGGATTGAGAATGGAGGAAGTAGAAGGGAAATGAAGAATTGGAAGGACAGATGCTAGTTTGAAGAAACTATGTTTTAATTTGCTTCAAAGCTTGTTACAAGTGCCATTGCCTATTTATAGGCTCACAAGGAATTCTCTAGAACGTTTAGATTTTTCATGATACATCAAGTTTCTAGAGAATTCTATATAATTCTATTTTCTACATACATCCATGATTAATATATCTTGTTCCTAGATTATTCTAGACAGTTATGCTTTTTTACAAATATCCTAGAGTTTTCTAGAATTACAAATTACTTTCTAACACCCCTCCGTAATTTGTAATTCCCAACTCATTTCTGAATAGCATTAAATTTTTTGGAGGGTAATGCTTTCGTGAAGATGTCTGCTAGCTGCTCATTTGTTGAGATGAACTCTAGCTCGATCTCCTTATTTTCAACGAGCTTTCTGATGTAATGAACGAATCTCAATATGTTTAGTTTTGACATGAAACATTAGATTCTTTGTCATGGCTACTGTAGGCTTGCTATCACAGTAAAGAGTAGTCGGTGACTCTTGGTCTTGTTGTAAATCAGATAAAATCTTTCGAAGCCATACTACTACGCATGCGGTATTTGTAGCTGAAATATACTCTGCTTCTGTAGATGAGAGGGTTATGATCTGTTATTTCTTTAAGGTCGAATATTACCTTAGATCCTAGAGTGAAGACATATCCTGAAGTGCTTTTGTGATCATCAATACATCCAGTCCAGTCGCTGTCAGTGTAGCCAGACAATGCATTGTCTTCTTCTGTTGTGTATTTTATTCCCATACTCTTTGTACCTTAAAGATATCGAAGAATCCGTTTTGCTGCTCCATAGTGTAGCTTACTTGGATTGCTCATGGATCTGGACATAATACTTACAATATATAATATGTCTGATCTTGTATTTGTGAGGTAGATTAGCGATCCGACTAGGCTTTTGTAACTTGAGGCATCCACCTTTGGTGCTCCACCTTTGGCGTTCCATCGTTCATTGATAGCTTTTTATTTAGCAATGCTGGTGTAGCTACTGGATTGCAATTCTTCATGTTGAACCTCTTCAAAAGATCTTCGCAGTACTTCTCTTGATTGATAAATATTTCTCCTTCAGTTTGTTTTACTTGTAGTCCTAAAAAATATCTCATTAATCCTAAATCTTTCATCTCAAAATCTTTTTTCATCTTCCTTTTAAATTCTTCATTCATCATAGTGTTATTGTCACAATAAATTAAATCATCAACATATAAGCAAACGATAAGGAAGTTTGCACTTTTGTTCTTCACATATAGAGACGATTTACTCGGGCTCCTTTGAGATCCATGCTTGTGGAAGTAGTTGTCAATTTTGCTATTACAAGCCCGCGGTGCTTGCTTCAACCTGTATAGTGCTTTGTGCAGTCAATAAACTTTGTTTTCTTATTTTTTGACTATGTAGTCATGTGGTTGCTCGACATAAACTTCCTCTTTGAGTTCTCCATTTAGGAATACTGACTTAACATCTAGCTGAAATACTTTGAGCTTGAGCTGAGCTGCTATGGCCAATACCGTCCTTATGGTCTCCATACGAGCAACTGAGACAAATATCTCATTGAAGTCGACTCCTGGTTGCTGAGAGTAACCCTTCGCGACTAATCAAGTCTTGAGTTTCTGAACGGAGCCATCTTCATTGTACTTGGTTTTGTATATCCACTTAAGGCCAATGACTTCCTTTCCTTCTGGAAGATTCACCAGCTCTCATGTCTTGTTCTTCTCGATCATGTATATTTCTTCATCCATTGTTTTTCTCCAACCTTCATCTTGAACAGCTTCTTCAAATTGCTATGGTTCACAGGAGAAGAATGCTACGTTACATGAGTCATAAATATCTTGAAGTGAACGCACCTTTCTTGGCAGTGAATCTGTGTCTGAAGTTGATGCATCTGAGGATCTTGGACTAGGAGAATCTTGATATGGCGTGGCTCCCCTTGTTTCCTCTTCAATGATGATTGGTGTTGAGGTTTGATGGGTTCATCATTCCATATTCCTACTTCATCGAAGATAACATCTCTGGAGACCACTAATTTATTAGTATCAGGATTGTATAATCTGTAGGCTTTGGATTCTTCATTGTAGCCAATGAAGATGAGTTTTTCTCCTTTTTCATCAAACTTTTCCTTTCTTAGTTGTGATGGTTTATGTGCATAGGCAATACAATCAAATACCTTAAAGAAATCCACTTTCGCCTTTCGCCTATACCAAGCTTCATATGGCGTTTTTTTTTGACACAATTTTCGTTGGTAATCTATTCAAGATGTAGGCTGCTGTATATACTGCCTCAACCCATAGTTTATTTGGGAGATTTTTACTTTTTAACATGTTCCTCGCCATCTCCACAATTGATCTTTTTTTTCTTTCTGCTACTTTATTTTGTTGTGGAGTGTACCTTGTTAGCTCCTTTTTAATTCCATGGTTTTTACAAAAAAATTAAAATCCATTGGAGGTGAACTCTCCTCCATGATCAGTTCTTAGAACTTTCAATTTGTGGCCACTTTGTTTTTCTACAAGAGCCTTATACTCAATAAACTTTGAGAATACATCTGATTTTGCTTTTAAGAAATATATCCACATCATTCTGCTATAATCATCAACAAATAATAATAAATATCTTCTTCCATTTAATGATGGGGTTTGTATTGGGTCACAAACATCAGAATGCACTAATTCTAACGGGGCTTTTGCTCTCCAAGATGTTTTAGTAAATGGTAAGCGAATGCACTAATTCTAACGGGGCTTTTGCTCTCCAAGATGTTTTAGTAAATGGTAAGCGATGCATTTTTTCATAAATGCATCCTTTACGGGGCTTTTGCTCTCCAAGATGTTTTAGTAAATGGTAAGCGATGCATTTTTTCATAAATGCATCCTTTATAAATTTTTTCTTCTTTATTTATGTGTGGGAGTCCTATCACGATATTCTTCATTTTTAGCAAATTTAGACTCTTGAAGTTTAAGTGGCCATATCTTTAATGTCTTAATAGAAATCATTATTTTCTTCTGATTTGAGTGCAAGATTCTCTATAGGCATTTTTAAGGGAAAAAATTTGTTAGGAGTCATTTTTATTCTAGTCACTGTTTGCTTATTCTTATTAATTATCACACATTCATTCTTAAAAAATTGATTGCATATCCTTTTTGGATTAATTGTCCCACACTAAGTAAATTTTGAGTTAGCACCGGAACATAAAGAACATTTGAGATGTATTTCGTCTTACCTCCCTTTGTCTGGACTGCTATCACTCCCTTTCCTTCAATGTTTTTTAATTTTGCGTCTCCAAGCTTTATTTGAGAGCTTGCTCCATCCTTCAGCTCTACGAAGCTGCTCTTATTTCCTGCCATATGATTGTTACATCCACTATCCAAATACCAAGTATCATTTTTTTTTGATTGTGCATTAAAACATGAATAAAATAGGTGATCGGTTTCTACTTCTGTATAGTGGACTTCATTATTTTTCTGATACCAACAATCTTTTTGGGAGTGATTAGCATTTATACAGTTTGTGCATTTAAATTTACAGTTATATGTGTTATGTCCAGACTTACTATATATTTTACAATAGGAGGTAGACTTATTTTTTGAGAAATCTTTGTCTCATTCATTCTTCCTTGTCCCCCGAACTTTCTTTCATGATAGTTGCCTCATCCATCTTGTGCTTTCTGAGAAAATCTTCTTTCTTTATTTTCTTTAATTCCATCTCCTCCTTTCCTTAAAAATGTTAGTTTTGACTGAAACGTTTGCTCCACCTCTTGACTTGAAGATCTGCTTCTTCTAAGCTCATGTGACTCCAAAGAAGTCATTAGTTCATAAAAACTTAGTTTTGATAAATCTTTAGATTCTTCTATGGCAACAACAATATGATTTCATGTAGGGGGAAGACTTCTTAATATATTCTCAACAATCTTCTTATCCTCTATTTTATCCCCATAGCTTCTAATTTGATTAATGATTTGAGTTAACTTTATCAAAAAAATTCTTTCACGGATTCATTATCTTTCATCTTTATGTTGTCAAAGTCTCTCCATAAAGATTGTAGTTTGATAGAGATTACCTTATTGGAGTCCTTGAATTCTTGTTTGCGTATGTCCCATGCATCCTTTGATTTTGATGCGAACATTATTCGGAGAAAGATTGCTTTGTTTACCCCTTGTTGGATTAAGAGAAGTGCCTTCGCATCCTTTTTCTTGTTCTCCTTATACTTCTTTTGTTTTATGCTCCTTTTGCTTTGTCGGTGTCCATGATGCTAACATTGCTAAGTCATCTGGACCTTCATAGCCTTCTTCGACAAGCTCCCAAAGTTATTAAGAGATGAAAAGAGTCTTCATTTTGAGGCTCCAGAAGTCATAGTTTCCGCTGTCAAAAATAGGGACTAAGTTTTGAAGGTAGTTAAAAAGAGAAGGGACAATTGGTGATGATGCTACCATTTAGAATTGTAGTGAAAGGTTAAAGGCTTTCAAGATTGATTTGAGGTGGAATAGGATGACTCTGATACCAAATTTATTGGAGTTGCGAAAGCGAGATACGTAATTGATTTTAGTTTTAGAGGATTGAGAATGGAGGAAGTAGAAGGGAAATGAAGAGTAAGCGAGATACGTAATTGATTTTAGTTTTAGAGGATTGAGAATGGAGGAAGTAGAAGGGAAATGAAGAGTTGGAAGGGAAGAGGCTAGCTAGGATTGAGAATGGAGGAAGTAGAAGGGAAATGAAGAGTTGGAAGGGAAGAGGCTAGCTTGAAGAAACTATATTTTAATTTGCTTCAAAGCTTGTTACAAATGCTTACATCCATTGCCTATTTATAGACTCATAAGGAATTCTCTAGAATGTTTAGATTTTTCATGATACATCAAGTTTCTAGAGAATTCTATATAATTCTATTTTCTACGTACATCCATGCTTAATATATATCTTGTTCCTAGATTATTCTAGACATTTATGTTTTTTTACAAATATCCTAGAGTTATTTAGAATTACAAATTACCTTCTAACACCCCTCCTTAATTTGTAATTCCCAACTCATTTCAGAATAGTATAAACTTTTTGGAGGGTAATGCTTTTGTGAAGATGTCTGCTAGCTGCTCAATTTTTTTTCCACATGTTATCCTTCGATTGGAGGAAACTTAGGCTTTTGTTACTAGAGATCGAAGAATTTGGATTGGATTCTTCACACTTTGACGTTGCATGTATGGATATAACAAAATTGTAACCTAAACCTAGACTTATTAGACTGCAACTATTCAATACATTATAAACTTTGGATAATTGACCCTAAAGATTACTGTGCATTTGGTCGTCTGTATCTTGAAGATTAGATGCTTTTCCACCATTCGGTTTCAATTAGGACTGTTGGAGCTGTAATGCTTCGCTCGGACAGCTTATTTTCCAAACAACATCGAATAACTGTTTGAGCATACTTTTGATTAAGTAACTAAGTAAGTAATTACTTTAAGGTTTCTTAAATACGAGAGAGCATGATCCGAACTTATTAAGTGCAATTCCTAAGATGTATTTTAAACCCCAAATGTTGCTCCAACTAAACAGGATTATTCCCCCAAAAAACAAAAAAATACTATTTGTGATGGTCAGGATGTTGATTGTTGTGTTTGCTTGATTTTGCAGGTTTGCAGGGATCCAAGATGGGGAAGATGCTACGAGAGTTATAGTGAGGATCCAGAAATAGTGCGGATGATGACCCCTATTGTTTCTGGTCTGCAGGGATCCCCACCCGAAGGGCATCCTGCAGGATACCCTTTTCTTGCAGGAAGGTACAAGTTTGATATGCTTTCATTGCCTTGTCATTTTAGAAAGTATTTTCCATGGTGTTTCAAACCACTGTATCGTGATTCACAACATTTACCCTTTTCTGCTTCTTGCTTAACCGCAGTAAGAATGTGATTGCATGTGCCAAGCATTTTGTTGGGGATGGAGGCACAGACAAAGGGATAAATGAAGGCGATACTATCTGTAGCTTTGAGGAGTTGGAACAAATACATATGAGGCCTTATCCTGACTGCCTTGCTCAGGGAGTCTGTACGGTTATGGTTTCCTATTCCAGCTGGAATGGAAGACCATTGCATTCTGATCGGTATCTCATAACAGATATCTTGAAGGGCAAGTTGGGCTTCAAGGTATTAACTTACTGAGAAATTCCCCCAAATTTGCGGTTACGTTTGGCTTTGTTATAGATCTTTAAGAAGCCTGAAAATCTCGAGTCCAATCTGCAAATAAGGAAGTTAAAACCTCAACCTTCATGTTGTTGGTTGAGGCTTGCTTGTTTAGTTGTTTGCGTTAACATTCATTTTCTTTCTGCAGTGTGTTGAAACATTCTACTTAACTTTATGTCAAAAGCAATGCAAATACTTGTAGCTTTCCGGCAATCACAATGCATATAATAAAGTGTGAATATTTATCTCGTACTGATGAAGAATTTTGTCAACAGGGAATGGTGATATCAGATTGGGAAGGAATAGATAGGCTGTCTAAGCCGCATGGATCAAACTATCGCTTTTGCATCTCTGCTTCAGTAAATGCTGGAATCGATATGGTAGAAATCATACTGCCTAATCTTAACCCCAACACTATTTTCAGTTTTTGTTGAAAATGTAGCTGAGATTGTTTTTTCTTTTTCATTTGTCTCCAGATAATGGTGCCTCACAGGTATGATAAGTTCCTAGAAGATTTGATTTATCTGGTGGAATCAGGAGATATACCCATATCCAGGATCGATGATGCTGTAGAGCGGATCTTAAGAGTGAAATTTATTGCCGGATTGTTCGAAAAGCCTTTTTCAGATCGATCTTTGTTGAATACAGTTGGCTGCAAGGTATGCTTGTGCTATTTACTACAAGTCTTCTTTGTCCTTTTAACTTTTTTTTTTGTTCAAACCACCGAAACCACACTTTTTTACTCTCTTAAACTACTCAACCCTTTACCACTGCCGCCAGCTAGTACCATTAACTCATAGCTCAATATGTTTGAACTTTGAGGTGGTGATCATACGGATAGAATCATAGAAGATTACCTACCTCAAAAAAATTGAAACCTTCAGGAGTTCTGTAGAAAACTTACTAGCTCAATTTTAAGAATATGCATCCATGCTTCTATAGTTTTTGGTATTGGGAAAGGTAATTTATCCAAACCAGCCCTGTGATATCAGTTCAAGTTAGATCATAGTAACCACGGATTGGAAAAGTTTGATTTCTAATTTTAGTTTAAGTATTTAATTCACATAATTCTTGCAATTGTGATTTTGGTCTGCATCTGAAGTTCATAGCATAGAATATTGTGAAGGTAAGATATAAAATTTAGTAGTTTGTTTGAAAACTAGACCACCTAACATGTGCTTTAAAACATCATGATTATCTTCAGGAGCACAGGGAGCTAGCACGTGAGGCTGTTAGGAAATCATTGGTTTTGTTAAAAAATGGAAAGGATCCTGCAAAGCCATTTTTACCTCTGGATAAAAATGCTAAAAGAATTCTTGTTGCTGGAAGACATGCAGATGATGTTGGATATCAATGTGGGGGTTGGACGATAACATGGTATGGAGGCAGCGGAAGAATAACAGTTGGTAAGTGATTTTTTTCTTGCACGACTTTTATCATATTTTCAAGCACTTCAGTTTTTTATTGGATATTTTCCATATTTTTATTATATATTTAGTCATTTTCTCTCATATTATGAAATATCAGATAGTACAGTTTATTGATTATTTACCTTTAGACAAATTTTTAAGAAGGAATTCCTTGATGAATTTTGAAATTGATGACCTCGCTTAGAATTACTTGTTTAACACTAATTTTAAGATTATACATATACAATGGAATGTTCTGCAATGGTGAACCTGTACATGGTCGTGTTATTAGTACTCTTCATTGAAAGGAAAGATGACACCCCTTGGTTAATAAATTAAATAAATAAATAAATAACTCTCACCATGCCCTTTCTTGCAAGTGGACTCCTTTAAGCCATTGATTGGCTATGTGAATACTTGGATACTGGATTAATCAGCCAGGTTAGTTGCCTAGCTTATTAGCATAGTCATTCCAAGGTAGAGAAGTCTACTGCTCATCATAATTTTGAAGGGGAAAATAGATAAATACGAAAGAGAAGTAGCTTTTAAATGTGTAATGGTAATGATCTCCTTTTGCATTAGTCCCTTCTAAATAGCTTTTAAATTTTAATTGGAATGAATCTCATTCCAAATTCTGTGCTCTTTGTCGGTTTGCTTGAGATGATATTATAAAGTCATACATTCTGTTAACACTAAAATATTCTTTTTCCCTTGGAAATATCATATACAGATTGATTAAACAATAATAAAACGAAGGGAACCAAGGAAAGCAGATAATATTGACGTGTAAGATGTTTAGTTTAGTGGAATTTAGATTCAAAGGTCCAATTACTAACTCAGCAATGTCAGAGAATCTGGTCATATTAGAAATTTAAAACATAAAACTGAGTCATATTAGAAATTTAAAACATAAAACTGAAGAATAAACATCTCTATTTGCAGAATTAAATAAAACTGAGTCATATTAGAAATTTAAAACATAAAACTGAAGAATAAACATCTCTATTTGCAGAATTAAAAGGTTAACCAACTGAAAGAAACTTTAAAACATAAAACTGAAGAATAAACATCTCTATTTGCAGAATTAAAAGGTTAACCAACTGAAAGAAACTGAGAACTGCAGAAGTGGATATTAGGGAATGCCTTATATAACTCAGACATGTTGGACAAAACTAATTGGTTGGAAGCATTGGATAGACTAGTCCCAGGAATTCTTGCAGATCTGCATAAACTAGCTCTGCATTTGGAATACAAGTACTTTATATGTAACATCAATTTCAGAAACTGTAGATGGTGTGGCAATTTGTTACTTCATAAGTATCATCAAGGACATAAAAAAACAATCTCCATTTGATTGTTGGTCCCATGCACATCTCAGACTTACATATCATCACTAGTTAATAGATATAGCATCAGCTGCAGGCTAATTTTCGCGCAGATTTAGAATCCCATACATATCTCAGGCTTAGTGTTCTCTTGGGCCACATTTAGCACCTTTTGTAAATATCGGTATGACATTATTATGCCTAGCAGAGCAAGGGCTGGGTTGTGCATCATGCTGATGGTAAGAGGTTTGGCTTTGCATATGAAATTAGCTCCATCGACAATCTTGGACTTAGCTTGATTTTAATGTAATGATACCCAACCCTGTTTCCAAAAACCAGGCCACCTGAACAAATGCTTGATATACACTTGGGTTTTCAATTAAAGGGTAACGGTTCTACACTGCTTACCAAGGTTGTCTACAGCATATGCAATAGATGATATCATTTCTTGTCTGTTGATTCTACTCTTGGAAAGCTGGAAGTTTCTGCGAGAAGTCTGTAGTTCAAACTTTTATTGGAAGAAGCTCTCTCTTTAGGATAGTTCCTTGCAACACTATCTTCCTTCCTCCAAGATCTAGGCTGCTTTTAGTTGACAAGAGGCAATAGCGTTACAGTTTTGTCTTTTTTTTTTGGAGACTCCTTGTAGTTAAGAGTTCTGATGAACATACGATCCAATACATAATTTGGATCATAATTTTGATAGGTGGATGAAATTTGGTTGCTTGAACTCTTCTATTGAAGGCACAAACATCTTATCTTGCACAAAAAATGCATCTTCTGGGAGAACATATCACGAACAGCGTTCATAACTTCACTTTCATGTGAGTGAGATAGAAGCTTATGCCGATTTGCATTTGCAGGCACCACCATTTTGGAGGCCATTAAAGAAGCCGTAGGAGAGAGTGCAGAAGTGGTCTACGAGGAACATCCATCAACAGCCACAATTGCAAACCAAAATTTTTCGTTTGCTATAGTAGTCGTCGGAGAGGTTGCCTACGCAGAATTTTTGGGAGATAGATCTCAACTTAATATCCCGTTCAATGGTTCCAACATGATTAACCTTGTGGCTAGCGAAATTCCGACACTTGTGATCACGATATCAGGAAGGCCTCTGGTGCTTGAGCCAGAGTTACTGGACAAGATAGAAGCCCTGGTTGCTGCTTGGCTACCAGGCAGTGAGGGAGGCGGCGTCGCTGACGTCCTTTTTGGAGATTATGACTTTGAAGGTCGACTGCCTGTTACTTGGTTTAGACCAACTAGTCAGTTGCCACTAAATGCAGGGCATCAGTCCTATGACCCTCTATTTCCCCTTGGGTTCGGATTGAAAATGGGTCTGATGAACAAATAAAGTTGTGTTAGTTTTAAGTCTTAAAAAACTTTAATACAATTACATCCAGAAATAATGAAATCATCTCGCTTATATGATGTATTTGCAATCAGTCAAATTGATACCCTCAAGGTCTGAGGGAGATTATCGCATCATCCAACAGCTTTAACGCCTGATAACGTTCTTGCCCGAGGAGGTTTAAACTGATAGATCCAAGGATTTACTGTAAGAGAGTTTTGTACTGATTAGAAATTAGACGGTTCATGACTTCATGTGAAGTTGATGTAAAGCGAGGGCTAGTGGATGCATTTTCTTATGCAACTTGCAGAAAGAGGACATCATACTTTTGGAAAGAAAGTGGACATTTTATTTTTTTGGCATATATCTTTGGGAAGTTAACAGTGATGCCACTCTTCGCTTCTTTTAAATACGTAGGGACCACGGTTTTGAACGTTTTAGGCGCAGCAGAGGCCCCATCTGTATTTATATAGATGGCACGTATTGAGTAGTAATAGTAGTAGTAGTAGAAGGAGAAGTTAAATTATGGTGACAGGACAGCTCAACCGATCACAGGCAGCATTTATTCTATTTAATGACGGTGATATAAGCTATTTATGATGATAATGTACTAGTAATAATAACATAATTGTAACGAGTTACTGACAGACTCTGATCAGTTTTTTATCAGTACAAATTAAGCTTCATGTTTACTTTTGTATATATCCTTAGCTTGATCAAAACAAAATTCAGAAAAAAAAAGACCTCGAACGACTTTATGATGTTGCCTTCTTTTTTCCTATTTATCCAAATTTATTTCGTGTCCTTGGAGAAATTTCTAATGAGAGTTGTGTTCTCTCTCAGCCTACCTTGGATTTTGAGGTGTAAGTTTGCAAACCGGACAAAGGAATTAGCTGGTTCTCTATGGTAGGAGTATGAGGTACGTAAAATGATTCCCACAATAAATTCTTCGAAAGGTAGGACCATATATATATAGGCTTTATTTTCGTCACCGTGCGGCTATTAATAAGTCGCATAATATCTACGGGACCTCTCAAGAAATGATGTATACATACGATGATAAGATCCCAACAACAGCTTACCCACCATTTGTGGTGGGTACGCACTTGATTGGATTGATACAAAATAGAGGAGAATTCCATGGAAACCCTGGAGATATTTGGTCTGCGTCCCTCCATTATATTGTTCTGTGGGCATCACCCAATTATAGTGCCCTTCTTTGAGAAGAAAAGGGTTAGACAAAGTTGCACATGATGCCGGAAAAAGACAAAGAATCGAGTAGACCCGCAGTAGTTTTTTTTTTAAAGCAGGGAACCTGCAGGCTCACGCCCCCGTCTCAATGGATTTGATTCCGGACCGGAAATAGGCTTTGGTTAGATTAAGATGCAGTCGTAGCGCTGGAGTTGTGTGTGCCCATAAATCCCCACCAATTAAGTGGAGGAGGAACATTTCCTAATTACTGTCCCGATCAGAATTCATAATTTTCATATAGAGAGATGCTAGAAAAGAAAAAGTATAGGTGCTGATGAATCTTGGGTATCTTCTATGATTCTGTTTGCTCCAAAGGAATCTCGGTTAGAGAGAATAAAAATCTCTAGCTTAGCCTTAAAAGCGTGATTACGCGCCGTACTTGGCGCGGTCACAGGTTTATTGAGGCTAATGATAGCCCCCCCACCCCCCAGTGCTTAGTGATTGCATACTTGTCGACCCCTAAATCTTCTCCCATGCCCCCTGATTACTGTACGTAATCATGAGCTCTAAAAGTGATTAAAAGAGATTTCCGCTTTGGAAAAACTACTAGCTTTTTTACTAGTTGTCCGAATGATACGCGAGTTGCTGAAAAACCCATTTCAGGGCTTACGGAATCGAAAACATGGAGGGGGGAAGGGGAAGATATGATGTTTAAAAGTGGGAAGCCCTGAGACCGAATATGTGGTCCGAAATCAGAATCCACTTAAAATGGAGGACAAGAGAGGGGGAGAATAAAGTCGGAGGCCGAGTGCTTTTTGCCAATGCAACTTGGGAGAAAAAGGGCTCGTATATCTTTCCAAAAGGGAAAAGAAAAAGAGAGAAAAAAGAAGAAGAAGAAGAAAAAAGGCTACGTTATTTTGGTATTTACCTTAGGGGGGGTTATGCTTCCTTGAATCCTAAACGTTCACTATTCCTTAGTCGTCTCGTAAGAGTTGATGATGAAAGAGTTTCTCTACTGGTTTTCCTTTCTTGTTTTCAGGATGAGAATTGAGAAAGGTCGGCACCTAGTAAAGTCATAACATTAACAAGATTATTAACATGGCAGATTTGAGAAAGTTGGGATTGCAAAGAATAAGGGAACCATAGGCATCGCGAGGAATATATGTTATGTGCCGCTGTATTGTCTTTAGTGGGTGCCTAGAGAGAGAGAGAGAGAGGGGATCTCCCAGCATCACAAGATACCTCCCCAGAGAAGGGGGAAGAAGAAAAAGAAAAAAAAGAAAGAAAGAAGGGAATCAGGAAAAAGGAGATGCTAAAGCATGAGATGCTGAGTTAGTGGAATTCATACACAGATCCAACTAAATTAAGTGGTCGATTTCAGAGTCACGATCAGGTCACACTCTCAGGTTTAAAACGTATAAATATATTGAAGAATAAATCTCTTCTTCACAACATAACTAAAAAGGCTGATCGAAACGAAAGCAACCCCAAAACCGCAGGAGTAAATCTCCGGAGCGCCCTATATATGAGTCGGACATCTTGAACAAAGCTACTCGATTGCAAGCGTAAACCGCGTCGCGTTTGGTATACGAAGCACTTCATGCGCACCTTCAACCGCAAAAGCTATTAGATTGTTCGCCAACTAATTGTTGCTTTATTATGTACAAGGTGTAATAGTAAACCCTAAGACCAGATGTGAGTACGTAATAGGATATATATAAATATATGTGATCTTGAATGTTCGGTACAAACGTGCATGAGAGGATGACATGAAAACAAAATTTGATGGTCATCAATAAGCTACAGCCATTTCATATGTGAATGAAAGCATAAAAAACAATGTAATCCGATTGACATGAAGGAACTCAACTACAAGCCATGTGTTCTCTCGTATACTTCTTTGCTGCTCAGGCGTATAAGCGTACACACCAGCTCATATCAGAGAACATGGATAACGAAGTAACTGATACAGGCTTTTTTTTTTTTTTTTATCATATCATACCTTAAGAAAAACTGCACTGGTGATCTTCTGCATTCTAGCGTAGGTTTATGATTCCAGCTTCATATATAATTCAAGCGCGGCTCTGAAGCCGAATACCCTAACTGCTTCTTCTTCTCTCTTCATTTGAGCACGAAGCTCGAACCCTGGACACCTTTACCGCAGATCACCGACTAGCTAGGATCTCGGTCTCCAAACGCACGCCCAAGCCATGGCTTCCTCTACTGTTCATGCTACCAGCAAAAAACAAAGCAACATTGCAGTTTCACCACGCCCGGGCATTGATAGACTCGCGTTCTCAAGAGTTTTTAATTAGATGGCATGGCAATATGTACATAGGTGATCTCTCTATGAAAATCTCCTCTAGACGGAAGAGTAACGCGTTACATGCATATTCGGAAACCCCCATTAGCATCTCCGAGCACAGCGTTGGCATTGTCATAGCACATAGCATACCTAGCTACTCATCTCGAATTAACTCCAGATTCTTAACGTTAACCGACCCCATCATCCTTCCATCCATTCCATAGAAAAGTTCTACAAGGGTAGGGAGACCTAGCTGCATCTAGATAAGCATGGCACGGTGAGCAACCATAGAATCTCGGAGAGTGCTTCTATGCGGGGTTTGAGC